GACAAAAAGTAATAGCTCAAATTGTTTGCCATTGAGGAATTATATATGTATGCAGATATATGAAAGCTGCTCACTATCAGTGGAAATACTAGAACGCAATTCCACTTGGATTCTGATATTGTTAACCATTGAATCTCTTTCAACCGTTAGGCTGTCCTATTTCAAACAAGTGGTGGGTGTTCTCAGGATAAGCAGCCGACACTGGCAAATGTTCATTAAAAAAGAGAAATGCAACACAATTGGCCGTATTTCGAAACATTGAAATTAAGCCAAGTGTTAGTGGGCAACACAGTAATCGCGGCAGTGACCATGTTAACCATGCGCGCAGTAGTGCGCGACATCCAAAAGTGGTTCCTTATGAGTGTTTTCCCAAGTTAACGCAGTTGAATTTCACTGGCTATGCTGTAGTGATTGCAAAAGCAAAAAACGTCACTGTCACTAGACTTAAAAAATAATCTGATGATCTGGTTACTGAAATGACATTTTTCCTGGCGATACCATTTGGCGCCAGTTTGGTGCTCCAGTTCAGGTTCGGTTCGCTGCAGACTGGTAGTTAGATTGGAGAGGTAATCCAGGGTTTCGAGTGCAAAGGTTTTAGTGCTGACAAGATTCAGGTTCAAGATAATGATTGTGGGCACCGAAGCGCTCCTAGAAATCGATTTTTGTTTTGGCAAGTTTCGTGATAAAGCAATTCCTCATATAAAGATATTCTTTGGCGGAATGTGCCATAGCGGTGCCCGTTCATCTTTGGCCCACTAGTTTCCACAGAAAATGTTTGTTCTACTTCAGTGCATGATTGCACTAATGTAGCTTGGTTTTGTGGAAAAATTATTCCCAGATTGAAAAGTCTTGGAGAACGTTCGAGAACGTAACTAACTACATGCAAGTACCACCTGTTCCACATTTCGAGGCGATGACGCTAGTAATTCGAAGCAGCACCACCTCAGTTTAATTTACTTTAGCCAGCTTTGAAAGTATCCCACACTTATTGACACCAAGCGCGCAAAACCACCAAATTGCTTGAAGCAATAGTAACAGAAAAATCGATCAGGCCTATCCTTACCCCCTACCTTTCCTTAGGCCTCATAGCGACATCCGAAACACACAAGTCTTTTTCCACTCAGATAAAGGAAATTATCGGCGTATTTTCAGTGCCCGTGCTGATGTTTTCAACGCACCTACGACAGACAGACAATTTAAAGGGCGCCGTCTTGGGTTACGGTAGCGTGGCGGTAATACTGAAGTTAGCTTCTTGTACATTATACTCTCTCTATCATTGTTTGCACGAATTGCACCCACACTATGGTGCCCTTGAGGCTGAACTCTGTAGCGCGCTTAGGTTCTTTGGGCCGAGGCCTGGGCTCCTCTGAGCACTATGCTGCCTCTATTTTCAGAGCGAAAAAGGACAAAAAGTGCGGATCATGTGCGACAAGCGGAAGAAGGCGGAAACGGTTTCAATTCTATTTTTGCTGTGTTTCAGTCACAGAACCGCTTGAGACCGGTTTCTACACGAAAAAATCCAATTAATCGAGCTAACCTTTAACTTGTCCGGCTTTATACTGAAATGGTAATTTGTGTGGTCGAGATCTGTGCCAGCGTTGTGGACTCCACCATTCTCGGAAATAAACTCAAACGTTCAAAAATTAGAGCAATGATAAGGTTTCTATGCAATTACTCCAGAATCTTAAGCAATTTTTGATCACGAGTAAGAGCAGCTGCAAATTCGGCTTTCGGCGCCGCTAATCCTGAGTTTGCAGATTTGGCATGCATGCTTAGCACCGTCGCCATTTGGCGCGAGCATGGAGCTGGCGCAAGTAATCTTCACCGCATCACCTTCTTCTTCAAAACTGATGTGAGCATGCACAATTTCCCCGCAGCAGTATGGCACCTTAATCCCCAACACAAATCCGTTGGAAACCAGTTAAGGATCCTGCTCACTGAAATCATTTCCGGTTTTTTGCGCCAATCATCACTCCGTTAAGGCTGCACCTGGAAGGGAAAGTGATTCTCCTCCCATTGGACTGTCGTAGCTAAGCGTAGACAAAAGTGTGATCTCCTTCAGTGCCGGCGCAGGGAATGAGTGGCGTATTCGCAAGAAGAATTCCAAATAAACTCGGTACGATGCTTTATATACATTTGGTGGAACACTGTGGTGGCGCCGGACTAACACATATCGGCTGCCAGTTGCGGCCGCGGTTAAATTGAAAGCTACAAGCGTAATGATATCAAGTTATCTCAGTATGTGAGCTCATTCCAGCATTGGTGAAATATCTGGCGGGGCACATTTACATCTATTTGGTGGAAAACAGTACGGAACTGACACCTAACGGTATGGCGCCCTCGTTAAAAAATGTATGTTACATCAAGTTACCTTAGTATGCAAGTTTATTCCAATTTCGAAGAAAAAGAGTATCAGGGCCAAGTTTCACAGGCACCATTCTGACATCAAATGCCTCAACACTAAAAACAATGCTAAATTCGTAATCTGAACGTCGAGAAACCCGGTATGCCAGTTTGTTTCGAATTGGAATGAAAATGCTAATAGCACCACCACTTGGCGCCGAATGGCGTCGACGCCGGATAAGCTTTATTTCGTGATCGGGGCACTGAATAACCCCTGAGCTGAGAAAAAGATGAGATTGAAATTTTGGGGAAATGAGTGCCTATAATTTCTACCTGGTCCACTCTTATTTACATGACTTACACTGAAGAATTCGTTCTCCTTCGGATATTTATCAGTACCAAGAAAGAGCATGTGCTCGCAGAAGTGCGCCAGCCCTTGCAACTCCCACGGATCCATGAGACTTCCTGGATTAGGTTACTACAGAATTCTTATATCTTTACAAGATATTCGAAAGTTTGAATAGTTTCTTTAATATCAAAAAGTAGTGCATTCCATTGAAAGTTAAGTAATAGTGGCCCACCGACATTAACATCCATTGCAGCGGCAGATTTATCTGTAGTGGGATCCGATACCAGTAGTACCCGGAGGCCATTTGTGAGTTCAAGTCCCCGATACTGCAAGACAGCGAATTCTTTACATTTGGCCAGAATCACGCTGATAAATACAGGTGAAGAGGGACTCCCAAAGATTGGCGGAG